TAACCGATTGCAACATTGTTGCAATCGGTTATTAGAGGCTCTCCTGGGTGGCCGTCGTTCGACTACCGACCATGCGGCGGGCGGCCATCTTGGATCCCTGGTTCGTCAGCGGGTCCGTGTCGTCGAACGCATAGCATTCCCAACAGTCATTCGACGGCACGAACACCGTTAAGCCTCCAGGACGTTCGGGAGTTTCAGGACCAGGTTCATTAAAGACAATCGGTTCTTTTCATGTGTTTTTAAAGAAAGGTGTTTTCTGTGCGGCGTTCGGTTATTTTAGCTGGGATCTGAGCGGCAATCTCACGAATGATGCGCCCAGACCCCAGCTATCTACCGAACGTCCATTCGTGTAAATCCACCGTATATTGTACCAACTGTGGATTTTTGTGTGAATTGCCGGTTCTGCTGCACGAGGGGATAATCCCCTTAACGGTGCATTCTGGGAGGGTGATCCCTCTCGTGCAGCGGTGCCTGATGGGAGAAATATGTAGTACAGTAAGTCCCCCATGTAGTCCCCTCCTGTACAACCCCTGTAATGTCTGTTTGGAACCCCCTTGCATGGGGAATTGCATAAATACTGTGACCTGTGATTAAAACCTCAGTTGACTCCCAGCCTATGTGTCGTCTAGTTCTTGGGAAGGAAGGGTTACTACAGTGCTGTTTGGATTGTTATATGCTGATTCCCTGGATTATCCTTTGTTGTTCCTGTTACCCAGCGGAGATATCGTGGATCATACTGCCTCTCCGCTACAATTTACTTTATAATAGAGCTACCCTAATATGAACAAGTGTGGGGTATGATTATAGTTGGTGTCCATCTTTTTGTTCCCTGTCATCCTCTCTCATTTTGTAACACCTAAGATAATTTAGTATTTTGTACACCTTGATGTGTCAGGAATTGGATGAAGTCAGGGACACTTAGAGGCTTTCTTTTATACCTCTTTTTATATTATTCCTGCTATTTCCTCGCTGAGCTTACACCACTTATGGTATAGTGACTTTTGAATACATTTGTCTCTTCCACTTAGTTCATTATAGTATCCTGGACTCTGTATGCAATGCTTGATGCACAACACTTATAATATTTCTGTTGAGAGTCCAGTAGATACATGAACATGTTCCTCACTTAGGAGTGTAATATATTGTTTGTATATAATTCTATAATTTTACAAGAACATTTTTGTTTGGTCATTGTGTAATACAGACCTTTTTTATTTATTCATTTTTGTGGCGTTTTCCCATTCAAGATACCAGTCATCCTGTTATAGATCCTAACCGTGCATTGGTTATATAGGCTCTCTCTATTTACATTTATAATAGGCTTAGGATAAGGGGTAAAAGATTAGGGTAGGCATACACATTTTTTACTTTGTTAATCTCTCTTCATGTAAGGGTCAGTGTAAGCATTGGGTAAGGTGAATGACTGGGATAGCATTAGTGTGGGGGTTGGTATAAGGTTAGCATTACTTATCGAAAATGTATTTAGATTCTAAATAAATGAGGTATTTATCAATCAGGTCTGATATATGAATCTATTACAGTTCCTTTCATTTGGTTGCACTAGATGTGTTTACAAGCTAGATTTTTATAAGCAAAAGTGTGAAAAAAATTGGATTCCCCTCCCATTTTCATCTTTTTTTTGTCAATCACTTTTTATTGAGGCATAAATGTATTATACATTACAAGCAGAATTAAGGCGTAGCATCAATTCTGATACACAACAGGTTCCAAAGATTATGAATACCTAATTTTATATTTAAAAGGACGATTAAGTTGTCTCAAAGGCAAGGATGGATAAAATAAAAAAAATAAACAACGAATAAACAAACATAGAGAAAGTACAAAACTTCTTCCCCCTAAAAAAAATATATTTTTGACCACAGCACATATGGTATAATATCTGCACATTTCAGGGAAACTGCTTAAATTATCTCTTAGACAGTGTTTATGTGCTGTCTAGTTACCGGATGTGTGATGCTATTAGTGATTCAGCAGGCAGATTATAGTGTAAAAGGAAAAGAGTTATTTTTGCTAGATTGAGGCATATACTACAAGAAGTATGTCTTTATATGTCCTCTAGCTGTAAGATACAGTTATGGAGATATTTATGATCCACAGGGTATTCTATCACAGTATGCCAGAAACATGAAGGAAAATAAAATATAATATGAAGAAAATGCACCAGTAGTGGTCGATATCTGTCTAAATTGGGATTAAACACCCCATGTAAAAATATAAAAATAGGCACAATAGGGGTCGTGGCTTAGGCAGTCAGGAGGTCAGTCGCATATGGGTTCCGGCAAAACAGAGTATAAGCGGAGCAATATGCACTTACAGATCTCTACAGTTGTACTTAACCACCCTCACACCTTCCTGATGGTATGGGGAAGAAAACCGAAACGCTTAAAGGCCTAACAGTGAGGGCCGTGTTGCTGCCCAGCCAGACAACAGCTCCTCTACCTACTTGGAGGCTGATCTCCTTGTTGCGCCCGATGCCATTCCCAAATCGGGGAATTCTCAACAGATCATTGCTGACCACAATACCTCAGCCACCAAGGGTGACATTTTGGATTTGATGAAGAATATGAGGAGGTTTTTCAAGAGGAAGATCCTTCGGCCATAGCTTAAAGACAGATGGGAGCTGCCGAACAATAAGCACCACTTCAAACAGACACTGTCCTATCAACTGGATGCCCTGGATGCCAACAGCAGATGCAATGCTGTCAAGGTCAGGGGCATAGCTGATGAGAGATTTGATTGTAGCTGCTCGTCCTTCCAGTCCTTCAAGGTGGATTGCGAGGTGTTATTTTCCTTGAAGCCTCGGACAAATGCCACAGATTTCATCATGGTCCGAGTGACTATCAACCTGTTGTCTGGACGGATCAACAAATGGGCTCACCAAATGTAGCAGACGAAGAGTCCTGTCCTTGACACTTGGGAATCCTTCACTACTGTGATGGATTCGCAGTGCAAGACCACTGTGACAAAGCCTGCTCCACGTCCCAGAAGATCCCAGGTTCCCAGAAACAGGGAGACCTTGTACCAACGCCATGCCTCCTTGTTGCCTCTTTATGATCCGGTTCTGAGGGAGACTCCAATGGACAAAGAGGAACCTATGGAGAACGGAGTCATCCGCAACAAGGTTATCTTCCGAGGAAAGAGATAGAAGGAGAGGCTGTGGTCTTTGTTTATACTGTGGAGAAAGAGGGCATTTTATCTCCCTCTGCCCTACTCGTCCACATAGGCCTCAGGCTCTCCGTTTGGGCACTGTCCAGATCTACCCGGTCAGCAATGCACCTCTGTCTGTGAATTGCCAACACTGTTGTCATACCAGTTCACGTTGATCTATGGCCAAAATACTCCGACTATGGTAATTGACACTGTCCATGTCCATGAGGAACCTGCTACTGAGACCTTTGTGATACCTCTACCTCTACAAGCGGCTGCACCGCTTCCTTTAAATACTCCTGTCCTAGGTAGTACCAACACGACTTCCAGCCTGCTCAAAGAAGAAATACTGTCAGACTGAACCTTAAATGGTACTGTAGTCTGCAAAAAGGACTTACAAATGTTCGAGAAGGCATTGCATGCCACAAACTCCACTTCTGCTGAAGAACCTGTTCACAACCGGAGGGCGTTCCTGAAGGGTACTGTCACGGTTTTCCCCGTGCCATCCAAATGGCTAGGCGTGGCCTCCCCATAAGTGCCCAACAGGGGACAAACCTGGGTCCTTCATGTCCTGGGCCTGCTATACTGCCCCTAAGGTACAGCAGGTTCTGTTATTTTGAGTAATTCTATCCTTATTATACCTGGCTATGTCTGCACCACTGGGGGCTGGACTTCTTCTGTGGCTATTACCTGTGCTTCACCTGAGGCAGATTGCTCATCAACCGGGTATTTAAGCACTGCCTCGCCCCGGGAACTTTGTCAGTTCTTTGATCCTGGTGTATGTGTTCAGTTCCTGTGATCTAGTCTCTTGAATTTATACTCCATATTGACCACGGCTTCTGACATCCCTTGACTTTTGCTACACTTCGTTTATCCTGACCTATGGCATCCTTTGACTTCGGCTATGCCTCGACTATTCTGCTGTTTGTGTCCTTGTCGGTACTGCATTGGAATCACCTTTCCTGCACAGCCACCGGGCACAGATTCACAGTCCAGGTGGCTTTTTACCTGGTCACCTTGGACCGTGTTTATCTGTAAGGGTGAGCGAACATATCTGCGCTACAGACCCCAACCAAGGTAAGCCATAACAAGGGGACAGCGAGCTACCACACTTTATTTGGTGCTTACTAACAACAATCCTACCCCAGTGACAAGCCAAAGTGACACATATTGAAGGCTATTATCTCCTACCTAAATCGCTTAAAGCACCGGCAGGGATAACCAAAGATGTGCTGGTCCACTCACTTAAAGTTTAGAAGATGGCGATGGAACCATTGCGGACGCAGACACCCCTCAATTTGAGTCATCCAGCTTCACATTCCTACAGGATCTATGCAAATCAACACTGGACAGGCGCAGATCATTCCAATTACAAAAAGATAAGTCCTGCTCTCACTCCGCTTTCTCTCCTTAATCCCTATGTATATTTAGACAAATGGAGGTAATTTAGTATGTTAGTGGGATCAGAGTATAAGATAGCTCGCCATTACGATACAGGGCCAGTGTAGTTCCCCTAGATTTATGAATCGGCATCCTGGAAGCCCTAAAACACTAGAAAGAAGCTCCTAGTTGAAAAGTATCCCTACTCCATGTTGCAATGTGGAGGTGGGGGAGGCAGGGGGGTTTATACTAACACTACATTGCGTAGAATCTGTCTGAACAGCACATGTATCATAGGAACTGTTGGTACTTACAGTACTAAGTACAAAAAAATAAAAGACTGGAAAACAGGAAAGAACCAATAACATGCATTACTGCAAATAAAATGCATGCAGTTATCTCACTGAGTCCCTCTCCACCCTGGGAACAATTGCTGTCACCCTGGTGACATTCTATGAATGGTTGGAAGGTGGTCTCAGCATTTCTGGTATGTAGTCTGCTACGCCCAGTGCTGCTATAAAGGCTGAACCTTCTGTAGGTTCAGAAGCCTTATATGAGTTCCTGTCTTTAAGAACCCATATGGACCTGGGAGTGAACCATTAACATGCAAGTCTTGCAGTTTAAAATGTTTTGGCTATTGAATGCATAGATTTACACGAAGGTAACGTGGATCTGCTCAGGTCTTCGAAAAATGTGATATTACAAGTCTCAAACCTATAAGGTGTCGTTCCCTTAAGTGCTTTCATCAAGCCTTGTCTTTTGGCTAGCATCTGACATAGTAGAATAACATCACGGAGGCAATGTAAGGTGCTTGTAGAGATTTGTTAATCCTATATATGCCATCAAAAGAGAAGTGCTTAACTTGTCTTGTAGGTAACACTGATGAGATTAGTCGTCTAATATAGTGTGGACGTTCTTCTGAGGGAATGGATTCCAGTATGCAGCAGACACGAGAACTACAGGTTTTGAAAGCTGTTTTTAGATTTACCCCCAATTAAAAAAGTTTTTATCAGAGGTATATCTACTAAACCATGATTCGTATTTACACAATGTGTAATATAGTGTGTAACGGATCACCTGGCACCCCGACTGGGTACCTCCGTTGAAGGATGCTCCTAGCACTTCCTCTCAAGCATATGAATGCTGTAAGCAGCTGAACAGGAAAAGCATACAATCAGCTTACACTCCTGGCAATCAGCATACAATCCAATTCCCCCAATAACGAGACGACACTTCGTTTTGAGGTCAAGCAGAACTGACTGTACTGGCACATACAGCCTCTTTTATTCCCAATCCACAAACTTAGTACTGCCCACAGGGTTTTACAGAACAACCAATCAATCTGTACAATACACACAGACACTCCCACACAAAATCCTCCCCTCTGCCTGTGATATGATTACTGAACACAATGGTTAATCTAATTATCACAGGCAGAGAAATACAGTATCATAAAACACATCACAGGGACCCCAAAACATTCAATAACCCCATAAAAAGTATATCCTTGGAACCAGGGGATCTGGGTGAACCACATATCCAAAATTCACCCAGATCCGTTCAGTACTTTGGAAGATACAGTTTAATGCAGATTCCACAGAACATATGCAGGCTAAATGAAAAACAATTACTGTATAATGTGTCCCCTGTTGTATAGTCCAAAACCACTGCACGATGTCTCTGTGCACCAAATACCGGCGAGATGGCACAGTGTTGAAAAGTCCAAACAGTGTCTGTGAGTTAAAATGGCCGCCATCCATTGTTCTTACCATGTGCTTCATCCATTGTTCTCACCATGTGCCTCTGATACAGGAAATGGTGGCCACCCAGTAACTCCACAGTATGTCCCCAGATGGTTCTTAAAGGGCCAGCAGCAGCACAACACAAATCCATTATGCCCAAATCATGTCTTTAAAGGGCAATACATCCCAGGGGCCATAGTCACATGGCAGGAGGCTGGCAATCAGTCTTCTACAATGCCCAGTGGCGAGGTCGGTTTCGCCACATAGTGGTTGTCACTCTGACAGCCATTAGAGGAGTTTCCACAGAAATTACTGTTCCTGCAGAGCGGTAATGTTTACAGTGCAAGGTTTAAATTACTCTAGAGCCACTAGGTGTTTCAACAGAAATAGGAGTAAAATTCTGCTATTTCTATCAGAGGGTTACATAGAGTAAACTACCTTTTCACTCAGAGGGAGGGCAGGTCATCTAAATGGCTACACATTTGTAATTCCCTAATGTCAGCATGCCACTTCTTAACCTAGAGGCACGCAGATCACATGACACACCGATCCAGCGGACCGCCATCTCCCCAGTTCCTGCTCCCTCATTTGACCTAGCAGCTGTGTTCAAATTCATTTTAATGATGCAATGCACACGCCCTGGAGTCATGACCTAACTGGTGCTGATTTGCGTCATTTTCACAGCTGTCTTAAGTATTGGGGGTGTGGTTACCATAATTACAGCCACAGCCTATAAAAATGTGATTTGGCAAGTGCACAGTGCCCTGTTGTGGATCTTTAGTGTCCCAGTAGCACATTTATATTATTCTCTTGTTTATTCTGTTTTTTTTTTTTTTACTTCCCTGACTATTCTGATTTCAGAAATCCCCGACGGGCTTTGTCTCTAATATACCTGTACCCTGATTTCCCTTTGACCTTAACTTGTTTTGACCTTCCTATCTGTTACCTAGTATGCTCGTTTAACACAGCCACTCTAAGGATCGGTATACCTGCCTAGGTTTCTCTGGTGAATTTATATACTGCATGTTGGGTTGTTTATAACCATGATACCTAACGTTGTAGTGTTCCTTTAAAGTAAATTAATTTAGACAGCTAGGAAGGGATTCTGCATTAAAAATATACATTTTGTAGCCTATATATTACTTTTAAAAGAGTTTATAGTAATACTAACAATCACAATGTTATACCTACCACTGCTCTGCTGTTAAGTACATGTTTTCAGAGGAACATTGAATCTTATTATAAGCGAGGCCCAGATGTTGTAGTGTGGGAGGAGGGTTTGTACTCAGTTCCTTCAAGCTTGAAATCTGATTTGAACAGAGCTCCAGCACCTATTCAAAATGTAGAGGATTAATAAAGGTGATTTAAATTTCTCCATTTACTGCAACAATTTCTGCAGTAACAATTACAAAAATGTCAGATAATCACCTTTAATGTCCTTGGAAGATTAGATGAATGTACAGTTTTTATTTTATTGACACTTAAAACCAGTTCTTTTAAATTATGGAATCTGAGCAGGTGTTCATCCACGTCACTCACCTGTAGAAGAGTAAAAAATGGCAATAATCAATGATGAGGAAAACAAATTACTTCTATAAACTTGTGTTACAACTCTTGAAAGCCAAATGTGTACAGTGGTTAAATAGCTGATTTGTTGCACAAACAAGTTCAAAGCACAATAGGGGATACACCGATCGATATTGTACAGTGCTGCGGAATTTGTTGGCACTTTATAAATATTAATTATAATAATAAAAGCGAAGTAGTGAATATTAAAAGTAGCAGTGATTTAACTCATCTCCTTCTTGCCCAACTTTATGTATAAATTAGTTGTGAAAGTCTAAGGACCCAGCCGCAAACCATGTGTACAAAGCTTGCAGAAGCCTGCTGCCTAGCCTAAACTCATTGTATTAGGGTAGAAATAGTTTTCGCAATAAAAATTAAATTAGAGGGAAAATGCCTTTAAAGGAACATTGTAGTCACCAGAACAACTACAGCTTAATGTAGTTATTCTGGTGAGTCTAATAGCTCCCTTCCGGCATTTTCATGTAAACACTGCCAGTGACTCACACATGCTCCCTACAGAAGAGTTCACTAACACACAGATTCACTACAGACAAGCTCACTGACACACACATGCTCACTGACACACATATGGTCACTACAGGCAAGCTCACGATCACACACATGCTTGCTACAGACAAGCTCACTGTACACACATGCTCACCACAGACAGGCTCCGACACACCCATGCTCCTTACAGACAAGCTCACTAACACGCACACACACACACACATATGATCCCTACAGACAAGCTCACTGACACACATGCAAGCTCACTCACTAGCAGGCACACACACACACAAACTCACTAGCAGGCGTGCACAGACAGAGGCTCCCTCACTAGCAGATGTGCGCACACACACACACACAGAAGCTCGCTCGCTCTCTCACTAGCAGATGCACACACAGGCAGACAGTCACACACACACAGGCAGACAGCCACACACACACACACAGGCAGACAGTCACACACACACAGGCAGTCAGCCACACACACAGGTAGACAGCCACACACACAGGCAGACAGTTACACACACAGTCACACACACAGACAGTCACACACACACAGGCAGACAGTCACACACACAGTCACACACACAGGCAGACAGTCACACACACACACAGTCACACACAAGCTCCGCCCTGCCGCATGCTAGCTCCGCCCCGCCACAATTCTTTTTTTTTTTTTTTAATGATCCCGGCCAGCCATGTGTGAGCTGTGCCGGCCGCCTGGCTCCCCCTGCTCCCATGGGGCCCTGTGCGGCCGCACAGCTCACATATAGCCGGCCGGGATTACAGGAGCCTGATCACTGATTAGGGCTGTCAGCCCAGCCCCGGGTGCCGTTGCCCACCAGGAAATTTCCTGGTATCCCGGTGGGCCAGTCCAGCCCTGGCCACTGGAGGGGCTTCCTGGCTCAGGGCTGCACAGTAAGCAGCCCTGATGTTCAGCGTCCCCACGCTCTGCAGGGAGACGTTGAATTTTCCTCATAGAGATTCATTGATTCAATGCATCTCTATGAGGAGGTCCTGATGGGGCAAAATGGCATTTGGCCCCGCCACCGTGCCGATTTTAGCCAATCCATTGAAAGCATTGAATTGGCTAAAAATCTGCCATTTTGATGATGTCACAAAGGGGCCGGAGCCAGTGCCGGCGGACCCACGCGGCGCTGGAAATAAGGTGAGTTTTAAACTTTTATAGGGGGGCAAGCCACCTATATGGTGGGATTAGCACTATAGGGTCAGGAATACATGTTCGTGTCCCTGACCCTATAGTGATCCTTTAATTCTACTTCCACGATGAACCTTCTGTTCTACCCTAACAAAGTTCGCATCTCGTGCAATTCTCATTCTCATGCATTTTGCAGAGAATGGCCTGACTTCATTGGAGAAAAGCTGCTAATCGAATACAAGCCAAAACAGCAGATTGCAGCTAGTTGTTAATATACATCCAGAGTACTAAGGGGCTCTGAAATGCAAATATGTTTTTTTTAACAAATGGCAAGTGTATTAAAAATATGTGTTGTTTACAACATAAAAGTGCTCTTTTATCCACAAAAACATATAGGTTTAATTTATGCATTACACTTGTGTATAAGCAATTTATTTAATTATTTGGAAAACACATGAGTAACGAGCTTCCAGTCCTTACTTTTTACTGTGTACCTTTCAGAAACTGCAGAAGAATCCATGGGTCTGACTAAAGTTGCCCCTTCAAGGGACAGTAGTAAAAACAAATAGAAGGGTGCAAATCATTAATAAATAGCAAATGACATTTTTAACTCACGAGGCCATTTCCTTGGCACTAACACCAGCAGCAATCCTTTAAAAAAGACATGCAAGCCCTACTCATTGTAGCAGCTAAATGAAGTTCCTTGTGCTTACCTTATACAGGAAAGCAAACATTGCACTCTTCCAGTATGTAAGAAACAGCATCCTTGCTGTACATGGACCCACCTTTAGATGCTACCAGTATCTTGTGGCCTCCACTACTACCAGTGCTACTGGCTTCCTCTACAACCAACTGCAGTACTGATTTCACACTCTTAGAAATAGGAAGTCTTAGGGATAATGACTGATTAGGGTCATGTGGGTTTGGGAATTATGAATAGGAGATTTAAATGGTTATTAACTGTAACGGACCACCTGGCACCCCGACTGTGTACCTCCGTTACTAGATGCTCCTAGCGCTTCCCGAGGGCTCAAAGCGCTCCGCCAGACACCACAACCACCACAGACCCCACGAACCACCGTAGCTTGGTTGGGGTCTCACCATCTCCTACCCACCCTGGACCTACGACAAGGCTCCAGGTTCCAGTGGGTGAACCTCTCCTCCAAGAGAGCGAAGCAGGAACTAGCTCTAAAAAAAGAGCTTAGAGTTGATTAGCCAAGGGAGCATGCAGAGCATAGCAATCCCTTGTAGTGATATAGCAATTCCCCCAATAAGAGACAAGACTCTAGATTGAGGGTTAAGCAGGAACAAGAACAGCTCTTACAAGAGCTTACCCTGGGGAGTATAGTGTGATTATAGCAATCCCCAGAGTGTAGTTATCCCATCCCCCCAAGCATGAGCCAAGGTTTCAAGAAAGGAAGGGTCTAGGGTTTAATGACACAGACTCTGCTTTTATGCAATTCTCCAATGCAAGGGAGACACCCACAGGCAATTAAGAATTATCCAGTCCACAACTGGTTACATCCCACACATCCCCTCTTTAGCATGAGAGATAACATAATTAACCGTACACACATTTTACACACTTTCTATAACTTTAACATTATACATCACATTTACATAAATCAGCATACATAGGGAACAAACATATCCAAAAATCATTCGAATCCGTTCAGCCGTTTGGGGGTTAGCTGGAAGTCATATTTTGACCGACCGCACTCACATTTTAATGCCCAATACAGTTCCAGAGAATCAGGCTGTGCGGCCCGTCTATTTACCATGTTAAATATAGTTCAAATTGGCGAATGGCAACCATTCGAATTGTCGAACGGCGTGCATTCGAATTGTCGAATGAGTTAGTTCCAGGGAAGGTAAAACTTCAGCTGAATTAAAATGGGCCCGTCTATTTACCATGTTAAATATAGTTCAAATTGGCGAATGGCAACCATTCGAATTGTCGAACGCCGTGCATTCGAATTGTCGAATGAGTTAGTTCCAGGGAAGGTGAATTAAAATGGCCATTCGACATTCGAACACGTGGCGGCCACTTCGGCACCTCAGCTGAATCCGAAGGGCCATAGTAAAGATTGTAGAATTGTGCCTGTTCCATTTAAAGGGCCAGAACAGTCTTTTAAACACTAATAAGTCCAAGTAGTGTTTTTAACTGGTAAAGTCTCCCAGGGACCATAGTCACATGGCAGGAGGCTGGCAAATAGTCATCTCCAGGCACAAGTGGCGAAGGGCACTTTGTCACATTAACTAAAGTGTTATATTTTTTTTAAGATCAAAATAGCCATAATGAAAACATGGCTGACTTTAAGAAGTTTTGTAATCTATTTATTTTCTCCTAAAATTGTAATTTAACTTTGATTTCTTTACAATCCACGCTGAGATTAATAACTCTAGGATGGTTAGTGGTACCTACATTCAAGATGCTTTAGGATACATCTTTTTTCACTATTCACTTGTCTGAGAGTCATGGTATTCTCAATCCAAAGACTCACTGCACGGAAAAAACCTACCCGCCCAGCTGAGGGAGTCCGGCTGGATACCGGGGCAGCGGCTGTCCGCCTCAATCACCGCCCAAGTAGGCCTCATCCAGAAGGAACGATGTATATCTCTCCGAGGGACTAAAACATTAATTGCAAGCCTCTCCCCAGGTCCAGTGCTTCCTCATGTGCTGGCCCACCGCATTAGGTCATCTGGTAGGTTCAAGAGTTCAGTTTTTTAAGCTTAAAAGTCAGAAAGTTGTTGGAGCTGCTGTTCCATGCGACCAGCCAGCATGGAACAACAGCTCCAACAACTGCAAACTCGAGCACATTTAACAACTTGCACACACATATTAAATAACTGCAGGTCTAGTTGGCTCTCAACTTTTACATCTTCAAAATGTGCAGAAAAAGCTGTTACTTCACATTTCTTAAAATGTAATAAGAATGATAAGGATAATGATTATGATAAGTAGATAAATTAAAATAAAAGTGCATTAGATGAATCCTATATATTATAAAGGGGGATTGTATTTTTTTTTAAGGAAACCCAGATGAAAGTTTTCCTCATTTGCTATTAGCATGTTAATCAACTCACCTCTTTATCTACCACCCTCAGTGATGTAAAGTATGAATAGACAAACTGGTCAGTGATGTTTTCAGGACATTTTATGGCCAACAGTCTCAGATGATGGATCTCAGGACTACAGCCATCCTCCAACTTCCAGGGAGAGCAATCACAGGTTACAAGATCATTCAAGTCATCCAGACTTTCACGTTGTGGGTCGTTTCCCATTTCCAATAGTGGGTCAACTGAGATAGACTTGCCATTTTTCAAATAGGAATGTGCCTAGAAAGTAATAAAAAAAGTTTAAATAAAAAAATGTGCAGCCAAGATAACATTAAAATAGGAAGAGACAAATTCCTGGATCTGAATTATTTAACATTTTACATTATATTTTTCTACGGAATTCAAGAGGAGAAATGGCAACCACATGTAATGGTGGGAGCAGAAGAAGGAATTAAGCAGTACAAGGGTGACCTTCACATAAATAAAACTACTTTTAGCTTCATCCCTAGAATGAAGCACATGAAAATGGGGATATCAACTTTAGGGGTCTCTGTAAAAACAGACCCCCAAATGTAACAAAGCAGGTGGAGGAATAGCTATTATAACTCACTACACTATATACTTAGTTATACTTTTTCAGCTATTTGGAATGTATATCATTGAATATCTTTGGATAACCTGTGTGTGAATCATATCAATCATGTTTTTTTTTTTTTTTTTTAACAATCTTTATCTGAAAGATAATTACATAATACAATAGTAAGAACAGTAATACATATTGCTACCTCAAGTACCCAAAATATTAAAGACACAGTCTACAAGCACGGAGGAGTCAGAAGAATGGATTAAGAGAATAACTAGTAAACAACTTTGCACAGAGAAGACTTTCCACCAACCAATGGTAAATGGGCTAGTGTAAAAAATATATAGAAATTTTATTTATTTATTTTTTCCCAATTATTTTCCCTCCGTACCAGCTGCAGTACTAGCCTTTGTAGCCAATGAAGATTCATGTGTTTTTTCCCCCATTTTTTTTAAATCATGTTTTTTAATATTGATTTTACAGACATTTTATTTGCACATTTTTTATGATTAATTTGTCTTAGACAATTATGTGATGCCGTTCATTATCTATGCAAATTTGATGTCTGATGGGAGGATTTGTCATTGATGTCTGATATTAATAAAGCCTGCTAAAAACAATGATTAAGTATTGGCTTTAAGATCGTGCTCCCATTAAGTAGTTTAAAATGGGGAAACAATCTTAAAGGAAAATTTGTTTAATGATATACAGTATTGTCTTTGTATTATTTTTTTCTTACCATTACACTGCTAATATAAATCACATTTTCATAATGAGAAAAATATTTTTCTGCATATTTTAAGAGTTACAAATGTGATCCTGTTAACAATTCTGACAAGGTTTCATTAATACTGGGCAAATCAATGTCTTGATTAAAAATGTAATATAACATATTAATTTGTGCAATGCATTAAAACATATTCTTTGTAAGTATCAGCAGTCAAACAACTACATTACTGAACCCCTCTATATGTGTAATGAATTCCTCTAATACATGAACATAGAAACACTTAGTAAGTGTGATTAATTACCCAGCTCCCAGAGCCACATGGGAAGGATCTCAAGCACAAAGTTTGCAGCTGGTCTTTCAAAGCTGCAGACACAGAGATACCCGACATTTTGATCATCAGAACTTATCTTTGATACATAGTTTTGCTGTGGAACTACAATCCACGCGCGTTGGAGTCTGGGTAAATCACAAACTTACAGGTTGATGCGTCCTGTTGCCTAGTAACAAAAATGCAAATCTATTCAAAGCTTATTTTCCTGTTCAAGGGCGGTGTTCTATCAAATTACAGACGTGCGATTGTAATTGTCGTTTCCACAAGTGACTTTATAAGCATAAGGTCACAGTATGACTCAGGGGCTGAATATTTAAGCACACAACTTTGCTTTTAGGAATTAATTATTCAGTTAGTTCTACTCACATTTTTATTCAAATTCCAGAATTTTAGGTTTTCTAATCAGAGCACACAGCTTAGGTGACAGGACAAAACGAATGGAGTTATGTGTCCTGACTTCAATAAAAATATAAATTTCTGAAACACTACTAGAAGCTATAACATATATTTTATTTCATGAAAATATGTAAATGAGTTACACAACAACTTGATGATTTAGTGACAATATCCAGGTATTGATATTCTTAATGCCATAATTATAAAAAAATATATATATATATAATTTGAGAAATCAAACTATTTTATATTCAGGGATAGATAAAAGTAAAATTATGCATATTAGATTTTATTTTTCCTGTTATTTGTTAAAGTGTGCTGTGACCACTATGGCGCACTGTTGTGGTTATCGTGGTAGGAGTGGACTTATACTCCCCAGTAGTGTAAGTAGTAAAACCATTTGCTAAAGTTTGACTTGTTACCTGGATCTGGCAGGTACCGCTCCCTGCCTCCTTCTTCTTGTGTGGATAGTCAGAAGCTCCTGCTAGGAGCTTCTGTTAGCTCTCCTGAGCTAAGCCCTGCTGTCCAGGGATGCTCATTGGCTGATAATGTTGGCTGAATGCTCTCAGCCAATAAGCTAAGCCCTGCACTGTCCGGAATAGCTCAGAACAGAGAGCATGGGCTGCAGAGGCAGAGAGACAGGGGGGCCAGAGCCCACTGAACCCCAGGAAAGAAGTCAGACTTTTAGCAAACTGTTTAACTACTTGCATTCGGTGAATGCCAGGGTAGTAGTGGGTATGTTCTTTGTGGGGTATCTGTAAGCCATGAATATAAGGGCTCAAAATGTAAAGTCCCAAGATACTAGGTTAGTAGTTACTCTCACTGATGTGTGAACAGAATTGTGTTTTTAATTCCCGTTTTGCCCACAGCATGGAGTGTCAGTGGATTTGTTAAAGTGGGGATATATTTGGTGAAGCATTAGAGTGTTTGAATCTAGGGGTGTTTGTGTGGCATGCCAGTGTGTGTGAATGCAGTGTATTTGTGTGGAGAATCTGTGTGTGCCATTCTCAAGAGTCCAAATTTGGCATCATTGTAAAGCACTTCAGTCTTGCTCCCTAAGACAAGTCCCCAGAAAGCTCAAGTTTGTTTTGATGGTCCTTGTCATCTGTCATATTTATAGCCATTATAACAACTGTACCAGCAAACTGTTACACATGTGAAGTTAAGAATGGAGGATATGACTCACATATGGTGGTATAGCAATAGCAGGTTCATGCTGTGATATTCTCCATTTGCATGGTAATACATGGGGTCACACCCTTTGCTCCAGAGGTGTCACGTTTAAGTTTCAACTGAACTGCCCCATTACACTAACAAATGAAGGTACCATCTTTCCCTGGAAATTAGACAGGGTCTTCTATTAAATTTTCCCCCGAAAAACGCACTAGGGCCTATTTTCAGAGGAAATCTTATTTTGGTGAAAAACGCTAGCAAGCATGTGCTAGAAAGCAGGTCTACATTAGGGCGATTTCTCCCGAGTAATAGATTAGTTCACTAGGGCATGGAATCCTGTGAATCTATGAAAAAACCTAGGAGGAGTAGCTAGATCCTGTTATCCCAATAGTGGATGAAATCTTCTGAGTTCCTGATAAAGACTCCAAGCCTGAGAAAACCTAGGAGGAGTAACCAGATCCTGTTATCCCAATAGTGGATGAAATGCCTCTATAGCCCAGAGCCTAACTTATTTGGCTCTGGAAATTGTGAGTGTGCTTTTTGTTTTCACTACTTTGTATTTTTGTTACAACAGTACACACTATGTTGTGTTTTATATTCACTGTATACAGGGTCCACAGTTAAACGCTATTACTGGGAATAGGATCCATATGTGACTATTTAACAAAAAGGTAAAATATATTACTGAGAGTTTGCGCTATCACCTTTTTCCCTTCTATGGAATCCTGTGAATCTATGTTCGGGGATTAGCAAACTAGCGATTAGGGCTTATTTTTAAGGTAAAGCTAGGGCTTACTTTCAGGTGATGTCTTATTTTCAAGCAAACAGGGTACCACAAAACAAGTTCTGCTCTATATATTTTATTGAAACATCCAGTTTCTTTCATATGAGAGGTACATGTACATGTATCTACGAGTATGGCCTATGAACATACACGCTACTTAATATCAGACACAAAAGGAAGATCTGTATTATGTTAGGAGGATGGAGGAATTCTATTGAAAGGACTAGAACTTTTTATTGGCGCAGTGCAGACATTTTCCTTGCATGTGCACTAGCCTCCCAATGCTTCCCTAAAGAGAGACATTGGATTGGCTGAGATCATCAAGATTGATGATGATTCAAACCAAGGAGGTGGCATCAGCAGCGCAGAGATCATGCTCGAGGAATACAAGATGAGTAAATCTATGTTTGTATTCCTAACTCTATAGCGTTCCTTTATATGGACACTATAGTCACCAAAACACTTAAGCTTAATGCAGTGGTTTTGGTGTATAGATCATGACTCATGAACTGCCCAATTCTCTGCCATTTAGGAGTTAAATTTCTTTGTTTATGCAGCCCTAGTCATACCTCCTCTACATGTGATCTACAGTCTCCCTACACATTTCTTGTAAAGAGAGATCTAATGTTTAAACTACCATTATTGCACAGTCTGTTTAATTTAGAATTTTGTTATGCCCTGCTCTTAAAGGAACAATAGTGTCAGGAATAAAAATGTGTATTCCTAACGCTACAGTGCCCTGGTGGCCATTTAGGTGATTGGCCCCAGTTTGCAGGGAGGAAAAAAAAAAAAGTATTTTACTTACATTTTCCCTTGTGCAGCACCAGTCTCTGTGTTTAGTCCTGCCTCTTTAGCTGAGATCATCAAGATCGATGATCAGAACCACTCCAATGCTTTCCATAGTGTGCAAGTGCAGCAAAATCTCTGTCTGAGACCACCTGATAGAAATGGCAGAGTTTTACTCTACTATTTCATCAGAAGCACCTCTAGTGGCTGTCACTCTGCATTTAAATACTACAATTAAAACACTTTGCAATTCTGTACAAGCTATGTTTGCAGCTGCATGGATATAACTCAGGGGCGGGATGGGAGGGGACATAAATCCAATTGAGCAGTGAGACTGCAGGATCATGATCTAAATACTAAAACTGCTTCAGTGAGTTAAAGGGACACTTCAGGCACCCAGACCACTTCTGCTTATTGGAGTGGTCTGGGTGCCAACTCCCACTACTCTTAACCCTGCAACTGTAATTATTGCAGTTTTTTATAAACTGCAATAATTACATTGCAGGGTTATCTCCACCTCTAGTGGCTGTCTACTGGATAGCCACCAGAGGGCACTTCCTTGTCCACAGCACAGAAAACCTGTGCTAGAGCGTCGCTGAACGTCCTCACGCTGTGCGAGGACCTCCAGCTTTGCTAATTTCCCCATAGGAAAGCATTGCGCATGCGCATTAGGTCTCCCCGGCTGGTGAGCGGGATCAATCACATGGATGAGCAGCGGCGGAGGAAGAAGCAGCGATGTGGGACATTGTCGCTGCCTCTAGTAAGTTACTAAAGGGGTTTTCACCCCTTCAGCAAGCGGGGATTGCGGGGTGGGAGGGAGTGGGGGGCCTGCAGTGCCAGGATTGTTTTCCTGGCACTGGAGTTTCCCTTTAAAGTTGTTTTGGTGCTTAGAATATGCCTTGGAAGGTAATTTACAGTCTGTAGGCTAAAGACACCCTGGGGTATTCATGTACAAGTGTGAAGTCAGGGTGAATTTAAATTTGGTGCGAAAATAACCAAGATGAAACCATAAAATTTTCAAATCTAATCCATAGTTTACTTAATAATCTTGTTAATGTTACCTTTTGTCTTTTAAGAACCTACTTAGTTAAGCCTTATGCAACATTGTAGCTTAATAAACAGGTTTTAGCAGAGTTCCTGGAATCCACATCATAATTACCCCAATTATCCCGGTATATAATCTGTCATCTACATCAGCATCGATAGGACCATGTCATGAGGTGAGTCAGCTATCACGTTATCTGCTAACTACAAACATACAATAAACAATGACATAAATATCACAAAGGGTCAATATCACTGTTCTAGGTTGTTAGCCACACAAATAATAGCTGCTTCCTCAGTTAACTGAAATTACACAGAATTTGTAACTATTTTAGCTAGTTCCTCAAAAGCATTTTATTTTAGTTTTCATATTATCTGGAAATGATTCACCAATGCAAATCTAATGACCAATCACTTTGATTAAAATCAAACAGAATAAAAATGTTACGTGTACTTAGCTAGAGGAAGAGAAATGAGGATTTCTATATTGCTATTACGCATGTATAAAACAAACTTAAGAAGCACATTTAAAGGGCCCAAAGCATTCTGCATCAGTCGAAACAATCCTAGCAGGATGGCTTTTCACTGGGGTGAGTACTGCAATAGCTCATTTTAATCATTAAAATCAGATCACCATTAATAATTTTTAGTGGAATCATTTACAAGCACCACTTGTCTAAAAATGTATCTTGAGAAAAGTTTAAAGTTTAGCCTTTAGATTTTGTTGAGATTGTCGGCATTAAACAAACCAAATGTACAATTTACTTTTACACTAAAAAGGTTAAGGATTATGAACAGGCTTTATACATAGATATACCGAGAAATTAGCGACACTAACAGGATTATTTACTAAAATGAGAATTCAAGGTGAACTCAAAGTGAATTTCAAACGTAATGTCAAAATTGCCAAACT